GAGAAGGACCTGGGGGTGTTGGTTGACAGCCGCCTGAACATGAGCCAGCAGTGTACTCAGGTGGCCAAGAAGGCCAATGGCATCCTGGCTTGTATCAAGAATAGCGTGGCCAGCAGGACCAAGGAGGTGACAGTGCCCCTGTACTCAGTACTGGTGAGGCTGCAGCTCAGATACTGTGTTCAGTTTTGGGCCCCTCACTACAAGGAGGGCATTGAGGTGCTGGAGTGTGTCCAAAGAAGGGCAACGAAGCTGGTGAAGGGTCTAGAGCACAAGTCTTATGAGGAGCGGCTGAGGGAGCTGGGGTTGCTTAGTTTGGAGAAAAGGAGGCTGAGGGGAGACCTTACTGCTCTCAACTACCTGAAAGGAGGTTGTAGCGAGGTGGGGGTCAGTCTCTTCTCCCAAGTAACAAGTGATAGGATGAGAGGAAACGGCCTCAAGCTGCGCCAGGGGAGGTTTAGATTGGATATTATGAAAAACTACTTCACTGAAAGGGCAGTCAGGCATTGCAACAGGCTGCCCAGGGCAGTGGTTGAGTCTCCATCCCTGGAGGTATTTAAAAGACGGGTAGACGTGGTGCTCGCATACATGGTTTAGTGGTGGACTTGGTAGTGCTAGGTAAACGGTTGGACTTGATGATCTTAAGGGTCTTTTCCAACCTTAACAATCTATGATTCTATAATGACAATTAAGAGAATTTAAAAATACATATGCTACAGGCTTAATTTAAAAAAAAAAAAACAAACAACTACTTACACAGCATGAACGAATCAACAGTTCAAACAATGCTTTAAACTTCATACCTAACTTCTAATTAAGGGGTCATTCTCACTTTTTTTCCCCAAGAATAAAAGCTACTATAACTTTCAGAAATGGAGACCTAAAAGAAGTTAAATGATGTAGCAATAGAGCAGGATCAACAAATGCAAGTTGTTGAAATATGGATTTTTAAAGCACGCAAACAAAATGTCACATTAGTTCTCCATAGCTTTTTTCAAAATCTTTTTTCTGCATCTGAATTTTCATTCCTCCTACTATAGCATTTGACAGGATTCATAAATAGCAATGATTGTTCAGCATTTTTTTTGTTTTGTTTTAACTCTCCTTTTCTTCTTGGATGTGTTTAACAGTCAAAACTGACTGCTAACATCTGTCAATCAGCCGAGTATAGCAGCACCCCCTTCTGGTTTTAACAGCCTGAGGTGGAATTTGGAACTCCCATCATCATGTAAGAAACCTGTATAGAAGAATCAAAGTAAAAGTGAAAATATTGTAAAACTAGGCATTTAGTCATAAGAAATGGGCAAAAGGATATTAATGCCACTACATTAGCCCAACTTATTCAATTGCAGGGGCTGAGGACCAATTTTAAAATGGTTCTTGCAGGCCTTGAGGTAGCTCTGTACAGGTGTGGTAGGCAGTGTGTCTTCATCACTGTATGCAGTGGCAGCACTCCAAATACCTGTTCATGCAGAGACTCACTTGACAGCAAGCCTCCTGTCCCACTGCTCTAGTGTGGGCATAAAGGCTAATGATCCAAGTACCTGTCTGTTCTGGGCTCCCGCTGCCTAAGCGGCCATTTGTCATCTCTTCTGATGCAAACGTGGTGGGTGGAGAGGATTATCTGATGGGCCAACTCTGTGCAACAAGTTAGCCCATCCTGTTTAATCAGACCACCACTTTGGCCTAGCAGCTCCTTTATAATCTCAGTACTGGTATCTTTAAACTTGCTTAGATTTTCAGGAAGAAGTGTCCCAGACTCTGAAACATTACGCTACCACTGTGTGTTGCCATACCGAGCTGTATATTGCTTATGTGAGAATTGTTTCAGGGATCCTTCATGTAAAGTACTTCCTGATCCTATTACCTATGTGCTTTTACTTTAAAATATTTGTTATGAAAACTTAAAACATTGATCATTGCTACATTAGAAAACAGAAAGTCATGGTAGTATGCTGTATGAGGTAAACAGGTGACAGTAATCAATGAAACTTAATCAAATTGCAACCAGCCAATTCTGCTGAAGGGAAAAAAAAAAAAACACACCAATCCACCATATAAGTAATACCACCAAGACGGACTGAAATTAAACCTGATCCTGCAAGCTGAAGAACAAAAGTGGGTGTTCAGGCATCTCTGTAAAGATTAGCTTACTAGGCTCGGGTCTTTTTTCTCCATTGGCTTTTTCTGGTAATGCTTGATACGATTCAGTTTTAAAAAGCAATTGCACTCCATGGTGTACATAGGTGTTAAAATATGCACAGGGCATACCTGACTATTAATACATATCTTTTTGTTGCATTGTGTGGTAAAGGAGCATTATTTCAGGCATGGATACAATTGCAGTGGTAATGGAGTAGAGTGGGGGAGACGTGCAATACTGAAGTTTCCTGAGTGGGAAAGCAGACTGAGGTGATGGTGTCATCTGTAGACTCTCCCTCCAAACAGATCATCTCTACAGATAAATTCACACCTGAATATAAATGTTGTTGTCATTTACAAGATCCCATTTTCTCCTGCTGGATGTTTTGAAGGATCTAGCCCATGCTGCTTCATCTGCACTGCGATATCAAACAAGTAATCATAACACTCACACCTAAAATTAAAAGAAAAAAAAAGTGAAATGTAAAGAAAGGCTCAAGCCTTACCATGTTTTATGAGAATTAATAGTTTTCTTCCTTGAGCTTTACATCACCAATGCGATGGTCTGACTAGACAGCTCTACTAGCATTTATTTTCGTTACTGCAGTATGGAAAGTGCCCAGAATTTTTGCTGCATGATCCAGATTTGCTGCATTTCCATCAGCAAATGAAGAAGAAAATTCCAAAAATGGGACTAGGGAAGACTACACAAACAGTATTGGCAGGTGTCATATAAAAGCAGAGATTGACTGCAGGTTTTGTATGAGGAGGGACTCGTCCATATGAAAGCAAAATGTTGGCAACAGGAATCATGGATGAACCCATTCCCAAAAGCTCCCTAGACATTCAGTGAGGCCAGAACTTAGTGTTCTGAATCATTGTCCATGAGTTGGAAATACACATGACATTAAGGTCATTAAGATTTTGAGGTATAATGGCAAAAGATAGCATATTCCTGAATTGTACTCACATTGTTTTGGCTTTTTCCCATGTTTCTCCCCACACATAAACTCCGTGACGTCTGACCAATACAGCACAAGAGTCTGGGTATTTTTCCACTGCATGTGCCATTCTTTCCTTGAGATCCTTCTCTTCTGGTGTATTCTCAATAATGGGAACCACTAGTGTATCATCATATCTAAAAGAAAAATCAATGTTTATGTATTATAACAAAACATTGTGTTTGCATGTACGAAGCTTTTCCCAAAGAAAGAGATCCTTCTTTGACTGTGTAAACATGTTAACAAATTCTCAACACTAGCGATTTTACACGCTTCTCTTGTGAGTCATGCTGTAACATAAGAACTCTCAGGAACATCTCTCACTCCCAAACATATGCTATGCTGGCAATACCTGAGCTCCACTTGAGGCATAAAAAGAAAATAACACTTTAGGGTATTAGGTGTAGCCGTTTGTTCACATATCACTTAGTAGTTGGGTCCCTTTACAACTTTTTCAGACTCTCTTCATCCTGTATTGGCATCACCTACAAGCTTTATCTCAGATTAAATTATTTAAAAGAATCACATCATGAAGAAGGAAATGACGCTGTTTGCTGAAGAGCAGAAAAAAAAAATTAGGTAGTCCAAAAAGCCCCTGGAAATAAGATTGTCCTACTAAGGCATATAAATAGAAAGTAGAGCCAACATATGAAAAAAATTCTCTGTGATGGAGTAATTGGTGGGCTATATGTGATCTTAAGAGAGCCTAAGAACCTCAATTCCAAAGACAAGATGATGCATGTTACTCAGTGGAACTTGCCTAAGAGTTTCTTCTGAAGGAGGACTGGGATATTTGGCATTGTTTGAACCTTAATTAACACTGGCAGAAACTTGTTTAGTTTTAACAAGTCCCCAGTTCAGGTTCAGATTTATCATTGAGATCACATAGATATTTCATGAGAGGATGCTAGTAGTACTCAGTTTTACAAAAGAGAGCAAGAAAGTAATGGTAAAAATACAGCTTGTACTTCAAATCAGATATTGAAAAAATTAGAAGTCTCATCCCTTACACTTTTCAGTGCTTTCCCAAAGGAGTCTATAAAAATAGTGAATGAAGAAAATTAAGCATTTTTTGTAGGTTTACTTTGACTCTTACATATTCTGATCATTAAAATTAGATTTGGAGTGTTTGCTACTAGTGAGGCCAAATGAGCTAAGGGATTGGTTTCCTAAGTTCTGCTTTCTACTTGGATGTGAGTTTGGAAGCAGGTATAAATACCATAACTCATGCCTAATCATAAGCATAAGCTTTTTATCAAGAACTAATATCTATAAAACCCCAACAAGACTCTGAATGAGTTAAATACTTGATATCTCTTTAGTTTTATTGAAATATAAGCAGCCTACATTTAGACAAACCTTCATATAAAATATCTTGGAACACTCTGAGACTTTCAAAGCTATTTACTACAGATCTAGTTCTCCTTCTACTGAAGTCAAAGGTAAAACTATTCTGGCATCACTGGGATCATATTGAGGCCAACAAATACTTCTGATTATCCTATTTGTAGCATTTTCCCGGATAGCTTCCAGAAAAGGTTTATGCAATTAGAAACAATATATTGTCAATCCTTTTTTTGAAAGATCCCATTCTGTACTATTGAATTTCTTTTGAATTCAATGGGGAGCCTCATGTGAGGCAAGACAGTGGAAGTATGGACGAATATGTACTTAGGAACCATGTAATCTGGAGCTTTGATTTCTGTAGTTTTTCTGGTAAATTAACAGGATGACACAGGACAACTCAGAGATATGGAACCCAATAAACAATAGGTCTCCTGACTCACATTTAGGAATGCTTGAGAAATGCAAATCCAAAAAAGAAAATTGTTGTGCATTTTTTTAAAACCAGTGTTGTTAGACAATTCAACATAAGGGGTGTCTCTTGCCACATTAAAAATACAAACGCTAATACTGACAAGAAGGTAAAGCTGGCAAGTCAACCAAAACTGAATAAAATATGCCTGGGCGTAAAATCACATGCCACACATATGGCTTGCTCCCTTGCCAAAGGGCAATAGTTAGTTACAAAAATTAACATCAAAAAGTGGAAATAATTTAGTATTTAAATTTTTCATCTGTCACATATTATATAAATGTTGTTTGCGGATCCCAGTTCAACACTCTGTGGGTGGAGTCCTCAAAACAAGCCATCACACATAATTTGGAATAACTCAGCACTTACCTCAGAGCTCATCCTTGAAAAGTAATAACATTACCTTTAATGAGCTGTTTATTCTGAATTTTCTTTCAAAGTCAGTCAAGTAAAATCTGAAATCCTCTGCTCTCTTAACATGCCCTAAACTAGCACAGGAGGTGATATGTGAAGTCCATCCAAATGTAGTTTGTATGTTATCAATCCAACCTAGTGTTGGTTGGCTCCAGTTTCAGTTTAACATGGTATAGATGTTCTTGCCATATCTATTTCTGTTCTTGCCATATTTGTCAGGACATAGCCCTTTATTTGGTTTGTTTCTGTAGCTCAACAGACCACAGACTTGACATTACAAGATTTTATCTCAGATCTCTGCCATAGGCTTGAGACCTTCTTAGGGAAAGCCAATGATTGATTTATTCCAGAGGCCTTTTTACTTCTTATTCCTAATACTTTATATTACACACTTTAACGCACATAACTCAAACAACTTGTCATCTATTTATATTGCTGAAAACAAATGATCAAAGCATATTTCTTAAATATAGAGAAGTACCGGTAATAGCCTCCTGAAGTACACTTCTGGATTCCTTTTATCATCTCCTGATGGGTAATACTAAACTCACTCCCTGGGTAAAGAAGGGTAGCCATAACAGCAGCCTTAGAATGAGTATGGATCACTGCTCCTGCCCCTAAGAACAGAAAAAGAAGAAAAAAATATATTTGTAGAATTAATTTTAAAATGTGTCTATGAAGAAAATTTTATTCACATACTTGATTAATTTCCTTTGGCTAGGCATCTTAGCAAATGGCGATCTACTGCATTAGAGGAAAAAATATACAGCAACCTAAATAAAGATATGAGATAATTACTCATCTATAAAGGATAATTATGGATTGTCTTAGGATACTAGTGTTAACTTTTAGTTAGTGACAAATTCCAGGAGAGAAACTACTTGCACAAATTTAAGGAGAAACACCACTTGTACTTTCTTTACATACTGCAATGGCTGAAACTCTTTTAAATTTATCAGAGTTCTGAGATTCTAAAGAATTCCCAAACTTATTTGTGAAACAGAAGTTTAAAGACTTTTACTTTCTTTTTATGCTAGTATTCTTCTTCTATTATTCACTGATTCTCTGAAAAAATATTTATTGCTATCTTATTCTGTCACGATGGAAAGACAGGTAGACAATAATTATAATTTACTTATAAATTTGCAATGCTGCAAAAAATATGAAATGAGTTTTCCTCAGGTACACATGTAAGCTTCTTGTGCAGGAAGATCAGAAGAGACCCACTAAATCCTTTTTAAAGTAAGAGATGTAAATCTTACACAACAGCAAAAGCTCTCTATTACTGTCCACCTGCAAAAGAAAAGTTTCATACTTTTTTCACCTATCCATAATTTAGAATCTTTGATCACAGCCAACAGTTGTAAAAGGAGCTAAAAAATAGCTGCCGAATAGGCAAAAATACTGGTATAAAACTGCTGTAAATCCCCCAGCTCCTCCCGCAACCTACTAATATACTGCACTAAAAATTAGTGCCGAAAAGATGGTCACAGGTATAGCTACATGAGAGGATTAAAATGCAAATTACACTCACAGGATGTTACTACAGATTACCTCCCATTTTACATATTCCTTTGCAAATCGATTTATTTTATAGTTTCATGTTTATTTCACTGTAACTTCCATGTATAAAGAATATGGTATTGAATTTCAATTTTGTGGATGTGTATACACAACGTTTCAGTCATTGTTGAACTAAAAACATTTGCTACGCACCTCTCATAGTGTAGGCATTCATAAAAAGAGGCGTGCACTGGCTTTTCTTTAGTTTTTTGTGTGGTGGAGGACCATTGATGTCCTGTTCGTTCATGTCACAAACAAACATATCTTCTGGCTGTAAGAAAGAAGGAATTATTTTGACCTGTGATGACCCAAATAGTTTTGTTTTCCTTCTAGGGAGACAAATATATACACCATATAATTAATATAGAATGTGACTTTAACTTTGTGAAAGTGTTGTAACACACCACATTTATTCTAGCTTCTAATAGTATTTACTGACATTGTGTAATGTGAATTAATATTAGGTACTCTTTTATTCAGACTGCTGCCAAGCAGATATTTGTAAAACTAAAATTTTCTCAGAAAGGAGATAGCCTGTATCTAAATAACAGACAATAGATGAAAAGGAAAAGTAGTAACTGATTCAAAACAAGAAATGTAGATGTACTTTTTCTTCCCCCCTTAAAGAACCAACAAAGGACATGAACTAAGCCTACATATAATATATTTAACTTGTAGAACTATTTTTTTTAAACCTTGCTTTTAGTAGCTTTACATGAATGTTACTTTTGCATCAATCAGCTACTCAAATGAATTGTTCAGGGCAGCAATAGAACTTTCTTCTTTAAGGTTTTCTTGAAAATTAGCAGGAAATACAGTTGCAAGAGATTTCCTAACTCATTGTGCTCAATCCACTGCTACTGCTAGCAAAGAAAGGTCTTCCCATGTTATGCCTTTGCCTGCCTTACTTGCTAACATCCCCAGCGACCACGGCTGCAAAACCCCAAGTTTCTATCAGTGAAGAGATTCTTTTCACTTCTCATTGTATTTACCCTCAGATCTACAAAACAACAAATCCTTTCCACATATTATTCTATTCTGGGGGAGGTTCTGCTGTCATATAAAATAGTTATTATTTACCATTCTCCCCCCCACTTACATTTTGGGGTTTTTTTTGACAGGAGACAGGTAGACAAGGCCACCTTTTCATGGGGAGAACCCATCTATTTACTGAGAATATCAAGACAAAGATGTGTAGTCACTCAAATGAAAATAGGGATGAGGTGTTAATGCTTAATTACGTATGTAACTTGAAACAGTAGCCAGACAGCTATAAAGTCATTCAAGCTTGACAAAGAATAAAGATGGACTTGAGTAATGTTCGAATCTTACAGTCTTCTGTGTTAATTTAAAGCAAAGAAATCATTAAGACTAATCTACACTGGCCACTGAAACACATGTTCACTTGCTATGATAGTGGAGTGCTACGCGAAATCCTCAGTTGTTTCAATAAGGCAGTCAACAGTATAACAAGATTCTAACTTTACACAAGGAAAAATGAAACCGTAAACAAAGGTACCTTCATCCATCTCAAGAGGAGCTCTGAGGTAAAAATACAGTTCAACATACCTGTATTCTTTCCTTTTGGACTCCTGAAGGAGCAATGTAGATTTCATTCCTAAGAAAAGTTACACACAGGGAAAATTGATAAACACAGGGTTATTCAACTGCATGGGCATAGAGCTCTCGATCCACTGAAAAGGAAATAGCAAATCTAGCCCCTCATAGTTTAATAAGTTTCTTGCTCCTTCCATAGATTGACGTGTAGATGTTTTTCAAAATAGAACTGAATCACACAAGGGCATATGAAATCTCTAACTTGCAGGGGTACAAAACCATGCTTTCAACTTGACAAGAGATCTGAAACACACACAGGAGTGCAGCCTTATTTTTCCTACAAAGGAAAACACACAGCCTCCCCCTGCAATAATTCCAAACTCAAATCCCCAGAATTCAGAATAAAAATGGCACAAGAGAAATTTCAAGCAGATACTGATCTATGACAAAACAGGTGACAAAACTATTACTTAAAAATCCACAGACTGCCTATAAACAATATTAATTATCTGTAGTAGTCTACAATGTAAACACTTTTGGGTTTTGCTATAACTATGTAGTTTAGGTTTTAAATGCATTTAGATATTTATTTGTATCGGTAAAAAGATAACACTAATTCAATGCAATTAAATGACTGAAATTCAAGCAGAAGTGCTTCACTTCTTGCAAGGTTTACATGAATAAAGACTATAAAAAATTGACTTCAATTAAAATTGTTTTAAGGCGGTATCCGAAATATTTTCAATAATAGCAAAAAGACCCCCAGATTATCTCTCTCAGTTGTAATCACTATTCACTTTCAACAGTAACATACTAAATTCAGGAGCACAGAGACATCTAGTGAACAATTTGTCAAATTACAGATATATTTCCTAAGGACCACGAGATTTTATATTTCTGGACAAGAGCACTCAGAAGAGCAATGAAGCTGGTGAAGAGCCTAGAGAACAAGTCCTACGAGGAGCAGCTGATGGAACTGGGGTTGTTTAGTCTGGAGAAAAGGAGGCTCAGAGGAGACCTTATCGCTGTCTGCAACTACCTGAAAGGAGGTTGTAGTGAGGTAGGGGTCAGTCTCTTTTCCTAAGTAAGAAGGAAGTGACAGGACGAGAGGAAATGGCCTCAAGATGGGCCAGGGGAGGTTTAGATTGGATATTAGGAAAAATTTCTTCACTGAAAGCATTGGAACAGGGTGCCCAGGGAAGTGGTTGAGTCATCATCCTTGGAGGTATTTAAAAGATGTTTAGGCATGGCGCTTAGGGACATGGTTTAGTAGTGGACTTGGCAGTGTTAGGTTTATGGTTGGACTTGATGATATTAAGGGTCTTTTCCAAACTAAATGATTCTATGATTCCATGATTCTAACTCTTCCAAAAATACAACTCTTAAGATGATGTACTCTTCATAGTTGTAAAACAGCTGTGAAGCACATCAAAATGTGGCTTTATCATATTTGTAGTTGTTAACATTCATGAATTAAAACTGCCAACATTGCATTAATTTAGTCTTAATTCCTTTGTATGAGCAAGATGATTAAGAGTGCAGCATATCGAGGAATCAAGTAGTAACCTGGTTACTAAGGAGAGACATGCATTTTTTCTTAAAACCAATTTTTTTCTTTTTTAGAAACTAATCACAAAGGGAAAATCTGATGATGAGATTCAGCCTTTGAAATATAGGACACCTGACAAAGAATTCTACATCCATTTTTAATATGCTACCCCATATCCAAATTGGCATATTTATTTTGAGTAGTTGATATGAACTGCACAGTGAGTAATGCTGATTAGGATTAGCCGGTAAGACCAGTTGTTAGAATTTCAATCAAATTTCAATTGTTCTTTCACTATTTCCTATGTAACAATTCTAATCTAGTCTGATCTCTGCCTCATAGCTATTAATTTTGAAACATAGCTACTGTTACTGTAGGTATAAAACAATACAGCCACATAGATTACTATTCCTAGACCACAGACAATATTGGTACCAACTCAAATATGTGTTTTGGTGTAGTCTGAGCAACCGAGTTATAGAACTGCTAAGGAAAACTGTACTACTATGTTAGTGTATTCTCTGTTGACACCATTTGTCTTGCCACAACCAACATGAATTGCAGAGAAATGATGAGGCTAGATTTAGCTACTGATGAGAAATTAGTGTTAGAAAGATCTTTCCATTGACAAAGAACTTTAAAAACAAGATTTAACCCTCTTATCATTCCTCTCGTTACTATTATTGCTGTTGCTTTGCTTGCAAAATCAAGCAGGGAAGTGAAACAACATGCACAAAGCCATTAGAACCGCACAAATATTAGCATTTAGAGGCTTTACTTCAGAGAGATATATATCTCATATATTTGAATAGCAATGGCTGTTTGTGTCTGCATGCAAGTGTATGTCAGAAAAATGAGATGTCAGACACTTTCATGTGAGTGTCACAACACCCTGTGACTGGGGACAGAAATGCAGGCACTGTGCACGGTGTTTTGCAGAATGAGGACTTCTCTTTTTTCAGTGGCCACTGAGAGGAGCTCTGTCTCCATCGAGACAAGCAAATTAAAAAGCAAAGTGGTGCTCCTTAATAGTGGATACACACCAAAATCTGTTCTGCTGTTACCTGTCCTGCTTTAATTATATGTTAAGAATATCGCCTTAGAAATTATCTCAGTAGAACAGAATTTTCTTCTTAAAGGAAATGTCTTGCCTGCCAAATGTCTAGGGTGGGATTCATCTCATCTACCCACAAGCATTTGAAAGCTGTGTGCCTGGTGTAAGTGACTCTAAACTCCATAGTCAATGAAATGCAAAAGGGAGAGTGCATTGTTCCTTAAAGACAATTTATCTACCTTAAACAAAGATAGGAAAAGGAGAGAAAAAAAGTCACTCTCTGAAGTTGGCTCTCTCCATTGAAGGGACTGCAATGATTAATTCAGAGTAGCCACCTCTCTTCTATATGGTTAAATTTGGTGTACTGTTCATTTCCGCCTCTGCCTTCTTGCTCACTATTGACTTTCAAACATTTGTCATGGATCTGAAATACCCTCACCAACTACTAAACACAGCCACCCTCTCTAACCATCACATTCTTTCTCTCTTCAATCTTTACTTACCCATGTTTCAAGCTGATTCCTCCACCGGTTCCTGTTACCCAGCCTAAACCATAAAACAGTCTACAAAGCTCTGGGATAAGATTTCTTGGATGTAACTTCTCCTAAAAATAAATTAAAGAAATAAATTAAAAACCATCAGAAACATCACAACCTAGAATTTCAATTCTGAAATTGAGTTTAAAGAGGTTGTACTCTCATACTGCAGTAAAACAGTCTAATTTATGCTTACGAACTTCAGTTACAAAATGACTGTGTGTTTGCACAATGCCCTTTACACTTTGCAGGGGTCATTCACAACTTGAAACAAACAAACAAAACTCCCAAATAAAATGCATGTCTGATTATCCTTCACAGGAAAGGTCTCATCTCAAATCTATTTGAGTGCAGTGGCCCACAGGTATTACACCAGTGAGATTAAGTCATAGACTATTGCCATAAAAAAAGAAAAATAAATGCATCTAACATTATTCATTTTGAAAAGCTCAACTAATAACTTTTCCCATTGAATCAGTTTTCTGTAGCTTTATTTTGCGTGATTTACAAATTTCAGTAGAACAGACTTTATTAGTTCTGTTATATATTTTTACATAGCAGTCAAAAATACCATAGAAAACATAGGCAAATTATCTGATGAACTTCACATACCTACATTTCTACAATGTGAGGTTACCTCACATGCAGTTTAGCCAGAAGGCAAACTGCATTATTTAATATTTCTTTCAGAAGGAAAAAAAGTTCTTCATTTTTTCCATATTCCATTGTTCATTACATCAATAAATATAACTATCTATTAACCAAAGGTATCTGTAGTGTCAAAGATTCATTCATAGTTAATCTAAAACAGAATGGCTTTACAGTATAGGCCAAAACTATTTATTGGAAATCCTAAACATTACTCTGCACTGAATATATAAAACTAACAAAAACTGTACCTAACAGGCAGCAGTCTTTGATAAGTGAGTACTACATTGGAAAATTAAAAATTTTGAATGTTGGAATCATTTACATGAGAAATATAACCAGTATACACAGAGAAAACTGTGAGATGCTACTTTAATTCATGTTGTGTGCCTGAATTTATGCATTTGCATGTTGTCTTGAGTATTTCTTTTAGCTCATCTGAGAGAATAAAAAGCCAAAGTCTTCCCCCATTTACCAGTGTAAAATAAAAATTGTATGTGCTTTCACAAAGATCCTGATATAACTGAACCCATTAAGTAAGGAATTAAACAGTAGAGAAATAGAGCAGTAATTTTATTTACATCAATTAATCTCCCTGGGATGGGGCAAGATTTCCACCTATATTACCACAGTAATACAGCTGGTTTTGTTTCTTACATGGGTGTGTGAAAGAAATCAGCAATTTAGCACAACAGATGTGCTCCTTGCATTGTTTTCAACAGAAAAATGGACCAGTTTTAGGAAGGCTAAACTCTTAGCTCACCAAATACAGTCCCCTGCTACTGCACCCAACTCTCACGTAACTCTTTTTATATATGCATTAAGCCTGACCAGTACTTCACACTTGAACTTAATAGTGTAGCACCATATTCTTCAATGGCACCTGTTTCTGAAACGATCATCTGTAAAGCACTGGGATTCAGTTCAGATGCTATTCCTGCCTGCCCTGATTTTGTTTCTATTATTTACAGTCTCTTTTTAATATATTAAAAAATCGTCTGTTTATTCATTTCAAGTGATAGAAACAAGATGCTAACCAGCACTCCTAGAAACTTATGTAAGAAGTTAAGATTGTTAAAGCACCATGAACCTCACATTACCTGAAACAAATAGAACAGGATATACAAGAGTACATGAAGAAAAAAGACCCCAGGTCAAATAAGCAAACTCCTACATTCAGAGTGAAAAAGTCTGAAATCTTCCCCATTCATACAGCTGAAAATGAAACCACTCCTTTCCAGTTCTTTGCCACTGAAAATAGTAATATACATCAAGTATACTCTAACTAAACATTCCTCAAATACTAATGACTCTGAAATGTACTGTGAATCTGAAAATATTAATGCATGTTATGTATGCTTACAAATACAAAAAAAAAAATGCATAGTATGTGTAAGTTATGGGTCCCCATTTTGTTGTTCTGATTTACTTACACAGAATTAATGGCTGTAGGTAATTTTTATCTATTCACCTGTCACAAAACTGAGTCCCACAGTATCTTGTTTTGACTCTTATTCAAAACGACATCACTGTGTATTTCTAACCTATGTACTACACCTGTATTTTTCATTTCAAAGAAAAATTATGTCTCTTCTACTTTTGATGGAATAAGCTTACATTAAACAGGTTTATATTGCTATTATTTATTGAATGTACACAGCCACAAAAAAACTAGATTATAACACTCCTACAGTTGTTTCATATTTTCCGTTTGATGAATATAGATATTTACTGCAAAATTCATATTCATGAGAGAACATCAGTGCTTTTCACCACTTCAAATCGTTAAAAAGAATTTTTAAAAGTTCAAATTCAGAAGCTACTTTCATCAAGAACATATGAGAATAAATATAATCAAGGAATTTGGACTATTCTTCTGAAGAATTCCAGGATTATAAATCTATCCTCAGAGTTTAACAGTATTTTTCCAGGATCAGTAAATACTGATTATAACCATAAACTATCCAAACAAAAATATGACTCTATTTCATATTTAAAATTACTGATAATAAAAATGACAGTTCTTTCTGTAACTAAAAAAGGGTACTTGCTGGAATAAGACTGGGAGTGAACATTTGTGAAAGCAGTAGGCAACTCAACAGGATTACTCTTTGTCAAATCTCAATTAGCAGTAATTTTAAATTTGATTTTTAAGTTGAAGTACAGATGCCATTGGTTATGTCTTCCTTCGTATCTCCAACTCAGGATCTGGCCCACTAGTTTTCTGATACAGCTAACATGCACAATTTAGCTTCTTTGCTGCTATGCTGTTACCATCTTAGCTTAAGTTTCTACGTGCTGTTAGGTATGAAGGAAAACTCCACAAACTTCCATGAACTAAAAGAAGTGACTAATTTTTCAATCCATTAAATTAGTATTTTGAAAACAAATTTGCTGATAAATTTCTGAACAGAACCTGACTGAAAGTATTCACTGAAAATTTAGACTATTTCCTGCAGTCAAATCTTTAAAAAAAATTATTATTGTATTCTGCAAGACTGTGGTTGCTCAAGAAAAATCAGCGTTTTCCTATTTTATTCAGATTGCTGTACCTAATATGATTTAAAAAACAAACCCACCTCCCAACCCAAAAACCCAGAAAACAATGTGGATCTAATATAACAGAAATCAAGGTGGACCCAGGCTACTTGTGGAACAAACACATTTGTAAAGGTTTTGGGAATAATTTTCAAAAGGTTTAAAACTGAACTACAATGTGGATATTTTAAGATATTATAGTAAATAAACAGTGCCTGAAATATGCATCTCCCTTTCATTAATTGCTTAGAAATCATATATTTTCCTCAGAAATAAGCAAAGACGACATAGACGAAATCCTACTGCCAGTATTTCATACTGGTAGGTAGTATGATGTGGCTTCTTTGAATAGCTGCATAGTGGTAAGTTTGATGTGGTCAAACAGATTTGTGCTACACTGTATATATAAAGTGAGAAAAGTACTGTTAATAAGCTGATAGATTTCTGTTTAAAATCTGTCTTTAGCATAGAAATGGATCAAATAAACCAAAGTAGCAAAAATAATGTCTTGACCCTTTAAAAAAAAGCTTATTTTCTACACCTCCAGCACCATACAAGGATTCTATAATGCAAAAGGGAGGGGTTTTAGGTGAGAAAAAGAAATAATTTTAAGGAAGAGATAGGAAAGCAATGTGGTGAGGATTCCTACTCTGCTTAAAAACCTCAGACTGTCAATTTTTATAGCAAGCACAGCCCTCCAACTGAAATGGATCATTTCTGGTGTATCTTTTTTATGTTTTGAATTTTTTTCTTTTATTGCAGCAATTAGAACTTTAATAGTTTTTTAAAAATGAGAAGTGATTAGTTGATCTACTGCTCAGCTTAGTCATTTATGCCCATGAAAGGACATTTCCAAGAGAAATTAGTTTAGCAGCAGGAACCCACATTAGTGGGAGGTATTCTGTTAACACAGACAGAATAAAGAGAACAAAAGCAAAAAATAAGTAGCACATACCACAGCTGGTAGGCAGGTAGTTACTTAGTACCAATACCTTTGCTGAAACATTAAGAAAAAAGTTCTATTGTCACTGTTCTCTCCCCCCACCCCAATACCACAGTGACTCTAAAGTTGAAGACTGAATGATCCCTGATGGTCTAAAGTAAGATTGTAAGACTTAAGCAAAGGGGAACTGGGATTTTGTGAGCCCCTCGAGATTGTCTCCTGGCCCCGTGGCAGTAGTTCTGAGGCAGGAGACAGGGAAGATAAAGTGATGGAGACATCAGACTGGGGCAAGTTTAACAAGGTTTGGAAGCTCCTACTTTAACCTCATCTTTAAAACCTCCAATGACAGTGAGTCACAAACTCCTTAGGCAATCTGTTTAACTGTCCCAGGTTAGAAATATTTTCCTAATGCCTAACCTAAACCTTGCTTGCTGAAACTTAAGCTTGTTATCTCTTACAAAAGAGTTATGGACATAAAGAAGACATTTTTCCCTTTCATCTCTGTGACAACATTTTACATATTAAGACAAAAAACTCCATTTGCCCCTTTTTGGTTTTTTTGACTGTGCAGATTCTTTCCATCTTTCCTGACAGACCACATTATCTGACCACAGAGCCTCATCCAGCTCCCAAACGCTCTAGCACGATGTCTGATGAAGTGCAGCACTGCTCAGTCATGTTCAGTTTGCGATGACTTATAGTAGTGAACAGTTACTAAACTACAAAAACCCCAAACAAACACAGCAAAAAACCAAAACAAACTAAAACCCCCCAGAGTTACCATAAATAAACAAACAAAAAGGGCCACAAGTCCTGTAACTGCAGCCAGACTCAGCTGGCAACATTTTAGAAAGTGTAGTAAACTTCATGACATCTCTATACTCTCTGCTAATGAGTAACTACGAAGGTTACTAGCTAATTACTAAGATTACAAGAATAGCCTCAACAACTGCAATTGCAAACTGCTATCCTGGAGCACCCGCTGATGCAAAGTGCCCCTAGCCAGGCGGCGGGCAAAGCGCAGGTAGAGCGTGGGGCCGTCAGCAGCATTATAGGTGGCACAGGCGGCCACGGCAGGGCTGGGGCACGCTGGTAGGGCCATTGCCGATTCGCTGTCCCACCTTAGGCCTCCATGCAAGGGGGGCCCTGGGGCGCTCAGCACGAGTTAGCTAACCCTACAACACGCGCCGCCGGGCTGCTTTTAAAGGGGACGCTGCCGGGACGAGGCGTGTGCGCCCGCCCCGCCGCCAAGCCCTGCGCCCCTTTAAAGCCCACGCGGCCTCAAGGGCAGGTGCTGTGTTCGAGGTTCATTATTACCTGCGCCGTATCGTGGTCGCTCTCGGTTGCCGCCATAGTGCTAGTCGGATGGCGAGTACAGGAGGGTCCTTTCTTGGGGACTTCTTTTTGGGGGCCGCGCGGGTGCCTGTCTATCGCTCGTCTATCTCTGGCGCGGGGGCATCGACCCAAGCGATACCCTGGAGGGCGTCGCGGAGCCTGCCCCGGGCGGAGGCGGACTGGCCGGGTGGGATGGAGAGACTAGCTTTCCCCCTCCTCATCATGAGAGAAGGAAAAGGCCAGTAGCGGGAGTACCTGGAATGTAAATGTGGGCGCACCCCGAGGGCAGGCAGGCAGGGTTGAGAGAGGTGTGGGTGTGTCTGTGGCAGGTATTTGCTCGTACCTGGGGCGACAGAAACAGTCAGGCCCGAGCAGGCGAGGGCCTGAGCGCCCACGGCTGGTGCTGTGGTGCCAGGTGCAGGCAGGTGGCCAGCAGGGCCGGGGGTGTTGGTGATGCCACTCCTCCGCGCTGAGGCGGCTTGGCCGCGGGGGGGGAAGCGTGCCGCTTTTTTTTTCTGCTCAGGCAGTGAGAGAGACAGCCCCAGCGCTGGGGAGGGTAGGGAAGCGAGGAGAGGCAAGATGGCAGCTTCCTTGTGGCTGAGCTGCGGGGGCAAAGCGGTGGTGAGGCTGATGCTGGGAGGGCGGCCAGCTCTGGGCGCTGGCGTGCCTTTCCCCGCTCGGGGAGGCTGGAGGCATCTGCACGGGACCCGAGAGCTACTGGGTGAGTGATGGGCTGGATCCTGCACCCTTTGTTGTTAGTTGCGTGCCTGTGCCGTTGGGCCTGCTGCAGGTGTGTGTGGAGGAGCTGAGACGTTAAGTAAGGGATGAGGGTAGGTGGTGCTGGGGGAGAAGTAAAGGCTGTGAAAGGTGGTGGGCAGGTATGAGTGCTTGGTGTTACCAGGTAGGTGTGTAGAGTGGCAAGGCTGAGCAGGGCTGTTGGTGTACTTAGCAGGAGAGACTGCGTAGCAACGACCGATTGGGAAGTGCATAAGAGGCTATGGAGATGGGTTAGTTTAGTAGGGTGCTGTTTAGTTTGGTCTCTGTAGGTACTGGAAGTACATCAGGAAGGGTATGGGCTGATGGGAGAGAATTCGGAGAGAGGTGTGAGAATTATTAATGGTCTAGAAAATGTGATCACTAAGAAAAAACTGAAGGAATTGGAGTCTAGGGAGGAAAACAGATTGATGGGAGATTAGGCCTTCAAATATGTAAATATTCTGTTGTGGATAAGGAAAAAAGTGCTTACAACTGAAGATACTTATATGTTTTCTAGGTGTAAGTATGGTTAAGTACTGACAGAGAAAGCTTTTTGTTTTGGTGGTTTTTTTTCAATGTTTGGAGATTCTACCACTTTTCTGTCATCTTTTTATTCTACAAACAATGTTTTAAGTAGCTGGAGAAGAGCATGGAAGCTATATTTTATGTAATTTTTTTTTTTAAAGGAGAAACGGAGTTTGAATTTATTAATTGTATGTCTAGCATGCGTTGCTGCCTAGAAGTCAGCCTATGAGGTTATGGCAACAGCCTTTCAAGATACTTTTTCTCTTCTCAGGAGTTTGTTGTTACAGAATTAGCAGGCAGATCTTCTGCTTAACTTTCATATTTTCCTCTGTCTCTAAGAGGTGTGGGAGGAGTTTTGGATGCTCGAATGAAATGTGATCTTTTCATTCCCTACTTGATCTGTTAGTTACAACTTGTAAAACATTTAAACAATAATCAGGTGCATTGTTATTAGGTACTAGTGTGATACTGAGCATAAAATGCCCAAACTCTGTTTTTTAAGTGCATTTATAAAGAAGTGAGCTGCTGCTAACCTTGTGTAATAAAACTACATGCATTTTACAATAAAACTCAGTAGTAGTTTAGAGACTTGTTAGTCATTGTTTTAAATCTCAGTACACCCTTCTTTCCTGGTTGTCTTTGCTGCTTTGCAGTATGAAAATCTCTTTCTTTGCAAAACTGCCTGATATAGCGAAGGCTATCCCTGTTCTTGAAACAAATGTTATTTATTTTCAAATTTTATTAGAAAAAAAATTGCTTCCTTCTTCATAAAATAATGTTTATCTTTTTGTCCAATGCAGGATTAGATATTTCTACATTAGTCTTATTATCTAACTTCTTAAAGACCTCTTGTCTACAGTCCTCCCAGGCAATCTATTGTAGTACTTTATACCTTTATGGTGAGAAAGGCTTATTTATTATATAGCTGGAGTTAAATTATTAATTTTGGAAATGGAAATGAGTGAAATTTTTTTCTTCCTTACAGTAAGCTTTTATGTATTAAGGTGGATATATCACACCTTTAGCTTGTTCAGTCTTTCCTCATGGATTTGTTCTTTTGAACCCTCTTAGTATTCCTTACTGCTTTTCAATGTGGTGCATATCTCAGTGACACTATTTTTCTTAGTTGTCTATTGTAGCCTCTAAAATGAAAAGAAGGAGAAAAGTCATAACTTCTCTGGTAAAATACAGCTCTTTTAGACATAAAACTCACTCTTGGTTTCTAGTTTGAGAATTTAAAGTCAGTTTTATTTTAGCATTAGTTTTATTTCTCCACTTTTCTGTTTCTGAAAATGCCACCATTTGAAGTATTGGTTCATGATGAATCTAGTTTTGTTGTGTCACTTCAGTTTTTTACTTCTCTATGTGTTTCTGTCCCTCTGTAGTGGTGGTAGAGGAGGGAGAAAGTCATTTTGCATAGTCAAAACAATTATTTCAGAATTGAATTCCTAGCTTGTTGGTTACAAGGAAGGAAGAAAAATAGAATGAACTTTTATGTTAGAGGTCTGTCAACTTTTCTTTGTTTTTTATGTTTCTTAATCTTATTGTCAGGTGGGAGTAAATTCTCTGACTAGAGTATGGCTTAGGAAGTCATGAAATATCTCTCTGGTGGGGCACATGAAAGCATTTGTCTTCAGTTCATTGCAGTTTTTTTGGTTTGACAATGCTGTAGCTGTTTCTATATCAAAGGAGGTCAAAAAGAGGCAATGAACCTGTGTTATGCTGAATAAGTTTAAGGACAAAATACACTGTCAATAGGATTCTCGGATTGTAGTTATAGAGGTCTACTGATCTGCTCTTCTCTTAAAGCCCTGCTCTTCAGTCTATTTGATACACAGCCTAAATATGCATTGGATCTCTTCATGGAGAAGGAAGGAGACAAACGTGCCCAGATTCAACTTGATTCTTAATTGTGTCACCAAGAACAAATTCTCATGGATACATAGAGGGTTTTCTTTAAAATAGCAGCTACTGTTTATATGAAGTTTTTTTAAGTCTTCCTCCTTTTTTATTCAGATAATTGATACGTAATAACACAGTTACTGTTGATAGCAGTAGAATTAATGGATGATGACTCGGAGTTCTGAAGTTTCATATGCTCATGGCTCTAAATTCTATTATGCTGGTAAGCTCTGTCTTTGAGATTGTGTGAATTGCCAGAACTTTTTGCTTACCCATAATGAAAAAGCAACTATATTTACTTCCCAGAGTGCTTGTAAGGACTGCCTGTACAGTGCAACTAACCTACATAAATGCAATGACTCCTTTTACTAGCATGTTTTTTCATTTGATGAGGGAAAACGTTATCTGGTGAAGGGAATTGTTCATTGTAAGATTGCCTTTTTTGAGAGACACGTTTAAGCTTGTTTTTTCCATGTGTATAGTCATTAACTGAAAAGTGACTAAAATAGCTTTGAAAAGAGACTGTTGTAGCTACTGTTCTTGTGTATCTGTTGCTGAACAAGGCTCTTAATTGCAACACTACTGAACTTCTCTGAACATATGCATCTTTATGCTTGAGCATTAAATGAACGCACAAGGAATGGATAGTTGGTGAGTGTGGAGGAAGAGAAAGGAGTGGAGAAAATGGAGCTGAAGTGCACCTAATTTTTCCCTTTCCTTTGCATAAGCACTTGGATTGTAGTTCCGCAGTTGCTTTAACTCAACTTAAATTCTGTCCTAGTTCCCCCTGTCCATTTTGGATGTTGATTTTTGTTCATACTGCTGTATGATGAGCCAGATCAGGAAGCTAACCTGACTTAAATTGTATTTGTTTTTGCGATCAGGTTAACTTTCAGCAAAATCCATTCCCTAGTCTGGATAACTACGCAGCATCATGAGTATTAGTACTACTGGTAGTATGAATAAAGGCGTGAACATGATCAATTGGGGCAGAAGACTGATCAGCTCCTTTTGGTTGTGTCATGGATAGATATTAAGTTAATGTGGAATAAGAGGCAGTCATGCATGGCTTAAAACTTTTTCCCTGAATTGGCCCCATTCAAAATGCAATCATTGTACTGCCTTGCAAAATCAGATTTGTGATATATTGTAGAGAAGAAATGCTTTTCTTGTTTAAAAAGCAGTTTGATTTTGTAGCTATGAAATTCCTTTAAAGCATCTAAGTAATGTTAATAAGTGTGTTCTCTAGGAAGCTTTTCAGTGAACTTGACTGCATCTGACCTCCAGACAACTGAAAGTAATTAGAAATTGAGTTTTTAAATCAGTGCCACAGCATTGCCAAGTCTGTTACTGAAATCTTTTCTTGTGTATTGCTGTAAAGGATGCTGTAACTATAATTTTGTTGTATAATTCTTCATAGTTCAGATCAGGCCACATATAAGCGAGAAGGAAAAGGAAGTTCTGTGCAAAGTAAAGTAATAGAAGTAAAGCAATTTGTTGGTATACTTTGTCTACTTTTTTGCTGCTATGGCTATCCATGTTATCAACATTATTTCTAAAAATAAAGCTCTTCCCTAGATAGCCCAATTTAAAAATGACTTGATAATTTATTACTTTTTTAGTAATAATTTGTGTACTTGCTGCTGGATCTTCTCTCCTAACTTGATCAAAGGACCAGAATGGACAGTATGTTTTGTGGTAGTTGCTCATAACATGAAAGGGAAGATGTTACAGTGGCACAAATTTGTTGTTCAATTTTGTATTTATGCCAAAGTATGGAGCATGTTCTGGGAAATGGATCAAGTAACTCTTCACTGAAGTAAAACATGAGAAACACCATGTTTAAAAATTAACTTTTTTCCTCATTAGAAATGTGGAATGCTTTCACTTTTCTTCAGTGAAGTATGTCTACTAGTTCTAGATATTCCTAGATATTTGTGGGATATGACTTCGAAGTCATGTTTTGATTGTCAAAGTTGACTTGTCAAGTTAGACAAATGAAACAGAACACTTCTTTGTATCCTGTAAGGTATTATTTTCTATTTGCTGTTATCTGTAAATATTTTTTTGAGTGAACATATATAGTGTAAAGAAAACTGTGAACTCTTGCTTTAATTTGTAGTATTTGAAAAATGATCTTAGACAAAACATGATTTGGTAAATAAACACAGGTAGGCATTCACAGAATAATATACATTGTTAACATAATTCATTTTTCTGTGTATTGGTCCAAGATGAGAGGTTGCAAGAAGAAACTTCTTAAAGACATCCTTGGAGGTAATTCAGATGGAGTTGCCAGTGTTATAAGGAGCATTGTCTGGATACATTTCTAAGCATTACAGTAATGAGTAATATTAAACTGAGAAGCATTTAAGTACCATGGAAAGACTGAGACACATGTATATTTCCTCATGTGGTCTTCTAAGAACATGACCCATGGATACACTGAGCTCATTTCCACAGTTCAGGTGTTTTGGGGAGCATGATCCTGATTGCATTGCTGTCCTTGGGACTTTGGGGAATAAATAACTTGCTTTCTGCTCTTGATGCATTTCAGATGTCAAGGTCATTGATGGCTGCTGAGGTTGTTAGAGGTTTGCTACAATGTTTCCATTTCACATTTTTAAAAAAACCATAGAATGTTTTGGGTTACAAGGGACATTAAAGGTCATCTAGGCCAACCCCTCTGCAACCCTGTCCCACCTGACCTTGAGGGATGGGGCATCTACCACCTTTCTGGGAAACCTGTTCCAGTGTTTCACCACTCTCACTGTAAAAAAAAATTTCTTCCTTATATCTAGTCTGAATCTGCACTCTTTTAGTTTAAAACCATTACCCCTTGTCCTATCGCTATAGGCCTTATTAAGAAGTCTGTACCCATCTTTCTTATAAGACCCCTTCAAGTATTGAAAGGCCACAATGAGGTCTTCCCAGAGCCCTCTCTTCTCCAGAACAAACAATCCCAACTCTCTCAGTCTTTGCTTGAAGGAGAGGTGTTCCGTCCCTCTGATCATCTTCATGGCCCTCCCCTGGGCCCACTCCAACAGATCCACGTCTGTCTTGTACACAGAATTCCAGAGCTGGTTGCAGTACTCCAGGTGGGATCTCAACAGAGCAGAGTACAGAGGGACAGAATCACCTCCTTTTGACCTGCTGGCCATGCTTCTTTTGATGCAGCCCAGGATGCAGTTGGCTTTCTGGGCTGCGAGCACACATTGCTGGCTCATGTCCAGTTTTTCATCCACCAGTCCTCCTCAGCAGGGCTGCTCTCAACCCCTTCGTTCCTCCAGCCTGTATTGATGCCAGAGGTTGCCCTGACCCAGGTGTAGCACCTTGCACTTGGCCTTGTTGAACCTCATGAGGTTCACGTGGGCCCACTTCTTGAGCTTGTCCAGGTCCCTCTGGATGGCATCCCATCCCTCAGGTGTGTCAACTGCACCACTCGGCTTGGTGTCATCTGCAAATCTGATGAGGGTACACTTGGCCCCACTGTCCATGTCATTGATGAAGATATTAAACAGTACTGGTCCCAATATGGACCCCTGAGGGACACCACTCATGACTGATCTCTATCCGGACATTGAGCTGTTGACCACTACCCTCTGGCTGTGACCATCCAACCAATTCCTCATCCACCTAACAGTCCACCCATCAAATCCCTGTCTCTCCAATTCAGAGAAGGATGTTGTGGGGGACTGTTGTCAAAGGTCTTACAGGAGTCCAGATGGATGACATCTGTAGCTCTTCCCTTGTCCACTGATGTAGTCACTCCATCATAGAAGGCCACTAGGTTGGTCAAGCAAGATTTCCCCTTGGTGAAGCCATGCTGGCTGTCTCGAATCACCTCCCTGTCCTCCACGTGCCTTAGCATAGCTTCTAGGAGGATCTGTTCCATGATCTTCCCAGGCACAGAGGTGAGGCTGACAGGTCAGTAGTTCCCAGGGTCCTCTCTTCTACCCTTTTAAAAATGGGTGTAATGTTTCCCTTTTTCCAGTCGCCAGGGACTTCACCTGACTGCTGTGTCTTTTCAAATATCATGGAGAGTGGCTTGGCAACTACATCAGCTTATTCCCTCAGGACTCTGGGATGCATCTCATCAGGTCCCATAGATTTATGTATGTTCAGGTTCCTCAGGTGGTTTTGAACCTGATCTTTTCTTACAGTGGGAGGGACTTTGCTTCCCTGGTCCCTGTGTTGTGGTCAATCCACTAGAGTTGTGTGGGAAGAGGGATTAAATAATAATGGAAATAGTTTTTTCCATTATTTCTTTGTAATGTCTTTAACTCTACCTAACCTCTAAAATATTTATGGTTGAATACCTACATTATTTACAAGTGTAATGATTTAATCTTTCATAATCCTGTAGCAATGAGAAAGACAACGTCAGATTTATTGGATGTATTAACATTAATGAATAACATAACATGGGTGGACACTTTTAATTCTCTTAAATCATTGTGTATTATTTGATGTTTCACTTCTTTGTCTTCTCTGAGGTCTTAAGCATGGTGACTTTTAGGACTTGGAAGTAAGGATGAGAAGCATTCTCACTCTAGGTGACGCATGCTTTTCAGCTCAAAATTCTTCTAGTTTTTTTTTCCTTGCCCTTTTTCTTCCAGATAATGAGGCAAAAAAGAAAAAAGGATTAATTTCTAAGTTTTTAAAGCTGTTCCTGCTTACTCTAAGCAATACAGCAACTGGAAGAAATTTGGTGGTGTTTCCTATTGAATGATAATAAGCCCTAATGCTGGATATTAGAGAAAAAGGAATATGAAGCAGAATTGATTCTTGCCATTGTATACAATGTACTTTCTATGTGTCTATTTCTGTTTTCTAACTCAATACAGATTCAGATATAATAGTTCAAGAGCGAGCCTCAAAAATCAGTCAGGTGCTGGAAAACTACTCTTACGTAATAGTATCTAAAAAGATATATTTATTTGGCCTCATAAGTATCCTTAAAAGTTCAGAAAGCTAGTATCTCTTGTATTACAAGCTGTATATCAGAATACTACTTTGGTATACTGGATCAAATTACAAGAGATGTAGTGTGCTGTGAAGCCAAGGAATGTGGTGTATCATGAGCCCTGTCCTCAGAAGAATCCCACTTACATGACATGCAGCTTGCTGCTGTGCAGTGCCACTTCCTGTGTATGGGTTTACTAAGCAGATTCAGTCAATTGGCAGACTGTGAAGTGATCTGCTAGCTAGCTGTGTCTAGTATATGGTGTTGCAGGGCCAGAGACGTTGTAGTGTTGTGTTGCCTAAATATATTGGACTTTTCAGATCTTTTTATTTGGCTTGTTAAAGGAAAGAAAAGGCTGATAATTTACTTGGTCTCTGTATATAGACACTTACCCATGAGAAAGATCTCTGTAATGAGAAATCTTTCAAGCTTCTTAACAGAGACATAAGATCCAATCACTGAAACTTGAAATTAGGCAATTTCAGTCTGCAAAGTAGATGTAGTTTCCTAGCAGAAAGGATAAATAAACATTGGGAAAGGTTATCAGTGAAAGAGGTGGATCATCAGTGTCTGGAATACTAGGATCAGGGGGGCTTTATTAATTTAAGACATATGCTTTAGTCTATCATCTGGAAAACATTCTGCAGCCTGTGGCAAAGAGGAAGAGGAGAGGAGAAAGGAGGATGTAGTGTTTGTGGTGGGTTTTAAGACCAATGAAACTTCTGGTTTAGGAATTCAGGACTCTGAATTCCCATTTCTTTTTTTCATATTTGAACTTTGGGGGAATGGGATTACATGCTTTGCCTTGGCATGCTCTTAATATTGCAGTTCAGCGTTAAGACGGAGGTCATAATTAAGACGTAGGTATCTAGCCTTTGGTTAAGAGGCAGAAAGGATTCTAACAATTGGCTAGATTCATTCTGCACATTTATACCCCACTCTGTCCTCACACTTGCATGCCCATAACTAGAAGCCTCAAGATGGATAAATACTCTGGGACAGAAGAGAAGATGCCTGCCTGGCTGGTACTCTGGTCATACATTCATAATCATACTGGTGACGTACTGCATAACTAGGAAGAAAAACTATGATAAATACCACTGAGGAATTTGTGGGTGGAGTTATACTATCCTCTGTTGCACATCATGGTTCATCAGCATGGAACATATCAATATCTCTCACCCAGTTTCTCATGATTGCAGCAGTTTTGGTGTCTCTTGAGGACTGAGATATGTATGTATGCGTGTGTGTGTGTGTTCTCTCCTCTGGGCTTGCTTATATCTGACAAGTTCTATGTTCTATGTTTCCTGCCAAGCAAGCAGGAAATGAGAGGACAAGTCTTTGAGACGTGTCTCATGGAGTGAGAGTGTCCTGGAGTAAATGAGAGGCTGTGGCACAGCATTTTAACCAAGGTTTTGCTCAAAGAGACCCTGACAGGTAGAACTAAGCATATGCAGGGCCACGTGTGGAAAGCCTCCAAAAATTGAAAGCTCCCAGAAATGGAAATGTGGTTCGGTTTAGTACATATGCCCCTGATACTCAATAGACGGGGTATTAGCTGGGTCAGCTTTGAGATTTATGGCATTTTGGGGGCGAGGGGGGAATAAAACAAAAAAGAAAAACCCCACAGCTTCATTGTAGCTGCTGATTTTTTTTTCCTAATGTATGTTCGTATTTTATAGCTGATTTTTCATTCAACACACAATAACTTGTGTGTAGTTGGAGCTCTAAGCAAGTCGTACATTTTTCTGTTTACATTTCTGTTGGACAAAAGTTATATAACTTTGTTTTACTTGCATCCACTGTAGGATTGTTTAGTAGGTCAGGCTGAACTGAGAGGTACTTGAAATACTAGTTTTTATATTTTTAATAATGCACTAAGACTTGGTCGTGGAGAGAGTTTCCATTAAAAATCAATTGAATCAAAGCTGAAGCAACGTGAGTACCTAAACTTGTCTTTATCAGATCCACAGTTTCTATATCATATTTTTACTTAAGACAGAGTTTAATTTGCTTAATACTTTGTATTATTTTTTACTTCATACTCAAGTTGGCCCTTGTTCACTGTGTAACGTATACGTTCTATACTTAGCGCCTTGTTTTCCTTGGTGCTCTTGGGAATGTGTGCTTGTAGGTAAGCTTACAAAGAAGCATCATAGTGAATCTTTTGTTCAACTGTCTTTCAGATTCATGCACTTCTAGTTTCATTTGTGTTAAGCAGTTAACTGAGAAAATAATTATACTGAAAAATTATTTAGTCTAGATAATCATATGTTTGTTTTACAGGTACACCTGGTATTAAAGTTCTCATGCCTGCACTTTCTCCTACAATGGAAGAAGGAAACATTGTGAAATGGTTAAAAAAGGAAGGTAAGATAGCATTTTCTGTGGCCACATTTGTTGTGATTCTTCAGCTACATAAATCTGTTCTGTAAGAATAAGATCATTCTTTCTGGTTGTAGCTTAGCATTTTGAAGCAAAACATTTGGTATATGGATGCTGTCTTCTTGAACAGCACCTGCTTTGAAACTGTTGGTTCTTGAAACTTTTTTCCTTTAGATGTCTTCCAAAAGGTTGCATTGATCATATTTTTGAAAAACTTCTGTTAGGCTGTTCCAGGGTGTGAATGTGTGTGTTGTTTTTAATTTCCAGTGTTGTCATGCTGATCAGTAACTTCGGAAGTCTGAGAGCCTTTGACTTGGGGCAGGGTCTCTGTTTCATTATTCTGCTGTGTTATGAAATAATATGAAAGGTATGGTATTTTTATAGTTGCTATTCAGGGCTTACTTTTTTAATATCTGAATTATAGTCTACAATTAAAACTGATAGAAAAATTTAAATTATTTTCATAACCCAAATTCCAAATGGGGAAGTCTTTCCAAAACAAAAACCAAACTACTCCTCCAAAAAAAGCCCTAACAACCTTGGTTATCTTAGGTTCTCTGTGCTCTGACAACTCGAAAGTAATATATTTCTGTTAAAATATGTTGGAGCAGATAAATAGTCTGTGTGTATGTTTCGTCTTCACATAGGTTGTATGTAAATGAAAAATGATCTGCAGAAGAATTGCAATCTCCTGTTTTGTCAGGTGACCTTTCTCCCTTCCCCTCCTACACTTTCCCCTCTCCAGTTTAATATTAAAACTGGATTTTGACTGTAGTTTTCCAAGTAGCAGTTGTCTCTTGGTATAGGATGCATTGCAGAGTTTCAGATGACTGTAGGGGTAGATCCTGTTCTCAGACATTGTTAGGTTTGCTAAATAGAAGAACAAGTTTGGAGGAAAAAAAATCTCTTAAAGCATATTATCTTTGACAAATGCAATTTGATGAGCTGTGTGTGTGTTGACTATTCTGCCTAGATAAGCCATTTCCTTTGGCTTACCCTCTAAGTATTGATACAGCCTCCATCATTGTGTTACTGCGGTACTTTGCTTTTAAACATTTTGAATACATTTTGAGAGGTGGCCAGAAGGTAACTTGTTGCTCCAGTAGTGGACATGATCTTTTGCTTGTAAAACTCGTAGTAAGGATTTCTGCAGAATTTACTAGGAACAGTATGGCAGTCTATGTCTGTAAAAAGTAATTGCACCAATGTTCTTGAAACTTCAGTTAGTCAAGTATCAAGTCCAAGACTATGCAGAGAGAGAGAAAGGAATGATCCAAAGTTCTTTTTCTATTCATTAGTTGTCAATAACTGTAAGACATTAAAAATCAACAGTAGTCTGTTTTACAATAAATATAGCATTCAAAATTGCAAGACAAAGCAAAGAAGAGAGCATGATAGGAGTTGAAGTAGATTCCAGTTTGCTCCACAATACAAATGAATCAGTTTTCCTCATAAGAAGGTCTTGGGACTCAACAGCTATGCAATGGTTTTTCTCAGTCTTTCCACTACACTTCCACTCTATCACAACAGGGGAAAAAAAAAAGCTTCACACCTATTTTAAATAAATTAAATTGAATCCTAATTGATGGTTGGACTTTGAGAGAAAACTATTTCAGGATCTTTTTTTCTCTACATTCTATTTAGAAACAAGACCAAAACTGAACATAGTATATTGTCTTATTTGGCACATCTGTGACCATATTAGTTCCTTTGGATTTTTTTTTCCTTTGACAGTCTGGAAAATAAACATAATGACAACATTAACAAAAGTGAAGATGAATTTTGAAGAAAAAAGAAAAGCGATTTAATGCTTGTACCTCTTCTGTCTGCAAGGGATGCTCATAATTACATAATCCTTCAGTGAGTTGGCTATCTAAATGTAGTGGCATTACTGAATATAAATGTTTGATAATCTCATATCCAATAAATAAATATTTTAAAGCAATTTACAGAAGAAAGCTGATGATTGTATATGAAATGTTTTTCCCACCGTATAACCAGCAGGGGTCAGTAGGATACCATTTTCATAATTTTTCTGCTCTTTGTGTAAATATCAAATGTTTTCATTTTACGGTTTCACAAATGGACAGATAATTTCAGTACTGCAGAAGGAAAAATGCTGAACTTAATTGATAGCTTTACTATTTTCTTCTAATTGTTAATGCGGTTTTTTATTAGTTCCTGTGGGTAATAGTCATTCTCATAAAAATAAAACTGTGTTTCTAGAAACTTGTATTTATTATGTATGAATTTAATGTTGATGAAAGATAATAGGTTGACAGCCCAGGAGACCGAAATCCTCTTGTTATTGTGGACAGGAAACAGAATATGGAACAGTGCTAGCAGTTTCCTCATGCAGTGTAACTGCTACCTTCTGAGACATCACCTCCAGAGACTTCAGTCTCTATGCTTAGTCAACTTTGATTTGATTTGCAAAGAGTACATTGAGGAATGGAGTTTGTATCTTGTGATTTGGATATTTGTCTGTCAGTAATTGAACAGAGCACACAGGCTATTGAATGCCAACTGAATGTGATCTCCTAGAGGGAAACTTGGCTTCAGTAGAGATCCTAATCATTCAGCCTAGCTATAAGAACTTAATAATTTTCAAAAAAAATCAAACAAACCCCACCCAAGATTTTTCAAGGGCATTATGTGTAATCTCAGAGTTGCCATTCCTGCAACTACTGTTGCAAATACTCCTCTCATTAGAGGTGATTATTAGTGTAAGAGCAAAGATGTGCTCTGCTAAAGTGTTTTTTCCAATCCTGTCTATTGGGAAAGCTGATCTGTAATTGACATCAAAGTGGGCATTGATTAGCAGCTATCACAAATTTTGCAATCTCTAGTGAAAATAACTATGATCCTTTCTATTGTGCTGGGATGCTGAAACACACATGAGATTTTTTTTGAATGCTGCTATGAAATATTCTTCTTAAAATTGCATTTAATGAATTGCCTTCCAAACTTGCGACCACTTCTTGGCTGCAGAATTTTGACTTCCTGTTATAAACTGTTTATGCTCTAGTTATTGTTAAGTGCAGTGCAGCAATTAGATTATGAAATTAAAAAGATCAGGTGCTACTTTGTGTACTCCCTTGCCAAGTTCTGTAATAGGAACATCTATGACTTGTAAACTATGTAAGTCACTGAGCTTTGAATGTTTCCATTGTTTACTACTGCAGAGATCACAAAGATCATACAACACCTCATTTTCCACTTCTGCTTCAGGTAGTCCTGAAACAGGAGGTAATTATTTAAAAAAAAAAAAAAGTTTCTCTCTTACTTAAATGCAGGTGGTAACCTGCACTAGGTTTATTCTGATGCTTAAGTACAGCAGAGTGATATCAGGAATTAAATTAAATGCTTAGACGGATAATAGTGTTGCAGCATTTCTGGTACTGGGAAAATCTTAAAAATTTACTTCATATAAAAATTGTAGTCATGTGTCAGGCTTGTATGTATTGTCCCTATTTTTCAGTGCTCTGTAAGAAAAAGGTTATGATATTTTGTTGGAGGACAAAACATTCAACTACCTCAAAGTTTCTCAATGTAATTTCAATTTTAATGTTCACTATCTAATCAGTATTGATCTGTTGAAAGAATCCAGACCCATAATATCTTTATCATGTGCTAGCAGATATAGATACTCTGCAAAAACAGAGGAAGAATATACTTCAAAATTAATCATAGATTTGTGTAATGTAGTGAAAGCAATTTCTAACACTTGTGCATATTTTTATTTCACAAAGTATGTTTCCAAAAGACCTTTTTTAACTCTATAGGAGATTGAGGAAACAAGCTTGCAGACATGCTTTCCAAAGAGATTAAAATTCCTGAGGTTTTTATTTGAATATCTTCAGTAGTGTAGATACAAACTAGAGAACTGTGATGCTTAGTTAAAGATGATGTTGCCTGTGATCATTGTCTTAAAAAAAATACAGTTTTAAATAGCTCGCTTTGACTTCCAGCTAGCAATGAATATGGAAGGCTCAGGATTTTATTCATGGCAGTGTTACTGAGTGATGGTGTTGTGTACTTCCTCTTGGAAAACTTACTGTAAACATCAGTATTTGGAATATGTTAATGTTCTGCTGCAGCAGTTTGTCTCTAAATCTTAGTGTTTTTATTTGGAAATTAAAGATACAATATGATAAGTAATGACAGGGGATCAATTAGCTATAGAATATATTAAAAAATGTAAAATGGCTGTATTATATGGATAAATACCTGTCTTCCATGGTTAAATAGATCTGAAAGGAAGCTTAGGCTAAGTATTCTTAAGTTCTGTTATATTTTGCAGGTGAAACAGTGAATGCTGGAGATGCATTGTGTGAAATTGAAACAGACAAAGCGGTGATTACCATGGAATCAAGTGATGATGGCATATTGGCTAAAATACTGGTAGGGATTCTGCCTTTCTGAATAGGATGATATAACTTCTCGTCAGACTGTCATTGAGCATGTTGCCTCAAAAACTAGTTTACATAGCTAAATTTCCTTCTGCACAGCTTTCAGAATAATGCACTTACTTGCGTTCCTAGTGAGAAATAATTGCTCTATTTATTTCGTACACATACTAGACTACTGGTACATGGTACTTGATTCTATATGTTTAATGGATTTTCAATTAGCCTGATTGAATTATGTTGTTTTGTATGTTTTGCACCTTATGAATAATGTCCATGAAATATTGCAGTTTATGACATCACTTACTCTGAGTTATAGAAAAACAAGTTACAATTGGTTAGTTGGAATATGGAATTTTGGATGGTACTCTACCCAGTATGTGTGATCTCTGTGCTAGATTATCTTGTGCTGGCCATTGAAGACAGAACATTATACAAGGTGGGCTGACCCAGAGGACAATTCTTAGTTATTAATTTCCTGTATTCTTAAAATTAGATTGATTAGGCTTAATATGGAGAATGAGAACTGGGATGAATGTGAAGTTCTCTGAGCATCATTTTGGAGTATTTGTGTGTAGGTGCATATATAACAGAGATAATGCTCTGTTTGGGTTCCTTGTTTATGTTTGGCTTTAAATCCTTTTCTGTACCAAGATGGAAGCAATAACAACTGGACTACAGAGATCAGGATGAAGGACTTAATTCTAACTGTCCATTGCTTAAGGTCTGCTTGCAAGTCCTGTGCTATTCTTTACATACTGTATTCTAAAAAGACAAGTCATATTTTTATCTTTTCCTTTCTCCTCTTTTCTAACATTTTTGAAAAATGTTTCTTATTTCAAAATGACCTGATGTTAATTCCCATCAGAATTTAGAAGGGTAGGGCTGTAATTCTGAGGCCTTCCTTCTGTTGCTGCTTCTGTGTAAAGGTAAATATTACATTTTCTGAAAACTCATATTTGATGCCTAAAAATTAAGGGAGACCGTATTTTTCTTGTCCCGAATACTATGTAATTTGGCCAGGGAGGTCTCATCTAGGGAATATCTACACAAGAGGTGTGGATTGCATAATTATGTATAGGCATACCAGTATTAGCTGCAGCCTAGCTACTTAGGAAACAACAGAATGGGCATACATACAAACTAGTTCCTGGAACCATCAGCGTGCAGGAGAAAATTTTACCCTACACCCAGTGATACACATGTTTCTGCTGCTATTAACAAAGCTATTTGGGTTGGTATATTAGGTTGCCTATCTCTGCTACAGTTGCTTTTTCTTACAACAGCATGTATTTGCATAGTTATCCTTTGCAAGAAAAGGGAGAGTAGTTTCCTGTGTGGCAGCATTTAAGAAGTGATGGTCTGTTTAGTATCTTTCTTTTTTGTATAAGCAAAGGGAACATCCTTTACAAAAATGAAAGAATCAAAATAGGTGGAGGACTGGGTGGGGAGGAGAGGTGATGTAAGATGGAACTCAGGTGCCATGAAGTCTATCAGGGCTTACAAGGAATTGTTACTGGTGTTTAATTTCTACAGGATAACCTGCATTTTAAACACTAGTTTATATATACAAGTAAGAGTTTTGTAAAGCTTTTCTTTCTTTTAATTTACACTGCTAAATAGTAATTTTTCCCAGATGTTCAGGTTTTCTCTAGCACCTTGAAACTTTTGAGTTTTTGTGTTCAACTGTGGAGCAACACATGTAATAAGCTTCAGAGAATCTATTCTACTATCCCAGGACAAATTCTCACATCAGTCGTATTTTTAAATGTTTTTAGTCTCCATATAGTTATTTTAATAATTGCTGGGTGAGTAATGCTTTCACTATTTTTAATTCTCTCATCTTCAATTTCAAATGTTTCTGAAAATTATTTTGCGTCTAATAGCCTTGACAAAAACTTGTGCAATGTCTTAATTTTGTTTTAATATGAAGTACCTATTCTGCATTTACAGATACTGTTTTATTTCACTATGTGAAGAGGAGGTAGGAGGATTGTCTCTGTCCAAAGCATTAAAGAATGATTCCCAGAGACACATTAAGAAAAGAATAGCACCCTCCAACACTGATTTTTCAAGTTTCTTTAATAGTAATTCATGATGACTACAAGTAGCATTAGTATTTCAGAAGCTGTGTTTTTTCCTGTTTCCTGTCTTGTATTTGGAATGCATTCCAAATTCCAGAATTTTTGTGTGTATTGCTCTTTTGGCATGTTTTTTGATAGATCAAAACCAGACTCTCCAGCAACTGTGTGATATCAGTACAGAATCATAGAATCATAAATGTTGGAAAGGACCTCTGAGATTGAGTCCAACCGTTAACCTAACTGCCTGCTCCACCTCTAAACCATGTCCCTAAGCACCACATCCACACGTTTTTTGAACACTTCTAGGGACTGTGATTGCACCACTTCCCTGGGCAGTCTGTTCCAATGCCTAACCACTCAGAGAAGAAATTTTTCCTAATGTCGAATCTAAATCTCCCATGGCACAACTTGAGCCCATTTCCTCTCATCCTTTTGCTTGCTACCTGGGAGAAGAGACTAACCCCCCACCTCGCTACAACCTCCTTTCAGGTAGTTGTAGAGAGCAATAAAGTCTCCCCTGAGCCTCCTCCAAACTAAACCACCCCAGTTCCCTCAACTGCTCCTCGTTCCCTCCTCCTGCTCTAGACCCTGCTCCAGCTTCGTTCCCCTTCTTTGGACACACTCCAGCACCTCAATGTCCTCCTTGTAGTGAGGGGCCCAAAACTGAACACAG